TTTTTTAATTTAAAGATAATTATTTCACAATCCCAAAAAATTCCAACTACAAAACATGTTTTTTAATACAACCAATTGGCAACACACCGTCCAATTTACAGTCCCCGTTATCCTGAAGCCCACAATCTCACAAGTGGCATGTCAGCACGTGCGTCACCATAAACGACCCACCCAAAAAAAGAGCAAAATAGAAAGGAAATTTTGGATTCTAGAGATCAGAAAACCGACGCTAAAAGTCAGAATTCAGAAACAATAAAAAAGAAGAAACCGAAACTTTCCGCACTCAGTCAAATCAAAGCCTCCATGAGAGTAAGATGATGAGCTCGTGTGGCGGTGAATCTCCGACTCCAACAACCTACTCTTTCCTCTCCTTCCTATCACATCCATGGATATCCGCCGGTTGCAACTCCGAGGAAGCCTCTCGCTTTATGTGGAACTACGCCGCCTGGGAGCTGAATGCGTTTCTCTGGATTTCTCTTATTGGTATCACTTCGCTTCTCACACAGAAACTGTTTAAGTTTTTCAAGTTATGGATTCAGGCTCGGCGGATTCCCGGTCCTCCTTGCTCCTCCTTCTACGGCCACTGCGGTCTCGCCTACGGAGAAAGACTTATAGGTGAGGCTCTTTTCTCTTCTGCTAGAATTCTAGTTATCTTTGTTCCTATGTGTTGAATTCAACGAATTGAAGTCGGTTTGTAGCTGTGTTTACTGATTCGATCGTCTTCTTTGCGTTACATTTAAGTCATACTTTGATTCTGAGCAACCAAGCATCAATTTTTTTTTTCTTGCTTTTTTTCTTTGGCTTCAGACCTCTTGTCTGATTCGCACAAGCAGTATGGATCAGTGGTGAAGTTGTGGCTAGGACCGACTCAGCTTCTTGTTTCAATAAAGGATCCAGATCTTATCAAGGAGATCCTTTTGAAGGCTAAGGATAAACTGCCTTTGACTAGAAAGGCTTTCCGGTTAGCCTTTGGACTATCGACCTTCTTTGTTTCCTCTTTTGACAAGGTAGTGTAACCTTAAATTATTTCTTAATTTACTTCAAATTATGTATATTTCTGTTGAATGCTTTTAGAATTATGAAAGTTAATGCATATATACATGGCTTGAAATGATTTAATCGATGCTAATTCAGTTTGGTTTTTCTTTCCCAGGCGAATTTGCTTGCTATATATTCTTTTATCTTTTGTTTTCTATTTCTTTGAAATAGATATGTATCATTTTTTTTTTTTTTATTCCAATTTCTCTCATGGAAACTTAGGAGGTTACTTGTCCAAAAAGTTAGAGAAAAACAGTTGTCAATTTTTAACCATTATTCTTTGTTAATATCTGAAGTAGCTAATTAACAAAATGAGAATTGTCTACATAAGTAAGCGAATTCAAGGTATCTTGGAATGTCAAGTGAAATACTTTTTGCACTTAGCTAAAGAAAAGAAAAGAACTTATTTTATACAGTTTTCTAAAGAACAGTATTGTTTTTGTTTTCATTTTGATAGTGTGATTGGAAACATCCTCTTTCTTTTAATCTTCTATGTGGTAGTTTATCTCTCTTTCTTTTGCCCCCATTGTCTTTAGGTGCAAAAGAGGCGAGATTCACTGACAAATGAATTGAATGGAAGATTGCTTGGGGGAGCAAACATTCTATCTACCAAGGCTACAGACTGTGTCATGGAAAAAGTACAGCAGATGGTGAGCAGGGGGAGTATTGATTCTAAACTGGTTTCTCAACACATGGCCTTTACCTTGTTGGGAGCTACACTCTTTGGAGATGCATTCCTGGATTGGTCTAAGGCAGCTTTATATGAACAGCTCCTAATGAAAATTGCCAAGGATGCTTGCTTTTGGGCCTCTTATAATGTTACTCCATTCTGGAAACAGGGGTTTTGGAGGTATCAGCATTTATGTATAAAGTTAAAATCCCTCACTCAAGATATCGTGCAGCAGTGCAGAACAAATTACAAGCTATTTTGTTGTATGAACCCAAGCTCCAATAACCAAACTGCTAATGTGAGAATGGAGACTGTTTTTGGTGCACCATCTTTTTCTGGTGTTGTGGTACAGGATAACCATTCCATGCAGGAGCTTAATGATCATCTAAATGCAAGAGATGAACCATGTGGCAATCTTATGGGTGTGATGTTTCATGGATGTTTAACAACAGCAGGCTTGATCAGTAATATGTTGGAGAGGCTTGCTAGACATCCAGAAATACAGGATAAAGTAGGAATCATGAACCCCCTCATCCCCCCCTGGTTTTGTTATGGTTTTTCATTATGCTTCTATAGTCTCATTTTGTCAGAACTTATATTGAAGGGGACTTGGTCTGCTTGTGGATATAGCATACGGTTAGATTATGATACATTCTTTGATAGTCTGCTCATTTTCTTTGAACGCTAGTAATTTTTAAACTGGTTGATCTTGAATTTTTGATATATGTTATAACTGGTTTTGGTTTCTTTTTCTTTTCTTTAGCCTTTTTGTTTTTTTTTTTTGGTGATATTGCTATTCAACTGAGGTCCTGGATTGTGATTGATTGTGTCTCTATTTGAATTTATGTAGATTCACTTAGAGATAATCATGGCACAGATATGTTCAGTAAAGGGAGATCAACATAATGTTGATTTGATGCCCTTGTTATTGGCAACTGTTTATGAATCCGCTCGTCTTCTGTCAGCAGCACCTTTACTACAGAGATGTTCCCTGGAACATGGTGAGAAATCACTTTCTTCTTTGGTAAAGGCTAAAATTGGGAAGTAAACTAGCTCTCTCTATATGCTGTTATTAAACATGCTAATGGCATCATCAATTTTGTTGCTGCATGAAACATTTTCTCACTATTACTCCCTCTGGTCTTTTTTAGTTGTCCTAGTCCTTCAACTTTATGTAAATTAACTTGATGATTTTTATATAGTAAATGAATGACAATTAAAAAAATTTTGTGATCTAAGTGAAAATACTCAACAAAAATTACATATAGAAAGAAAAAAAATTTCAATTTTCATCTATTTATTATATAAAATCATCTGGTTAAATTTTATGTAAAAGTCAAACTGGGACAATTAAATCAGGCCGAGTACTGGTTTGTGACCTTTGTTTCATTTTCTCGTCTGCAATGAGTGAGTTTTGTTTTTGTGGTCAATAGACTCAAAGACAATGATTAATTTGGTTTGCAATTCACCCCTATTGCTCTTGTAGTAATATTTGCTAGTGGTGATGCTGCATATGTAATCACTTAAACTTTTGTGTTCTTATTTCCCTTTTATTTGCAGATTTGAGGCTTAAGTCTGGAGTAATCATACCAGCTGGAACAGTGCTTGTTGTCCCTGTACAGTTGGTGCATAGGGATAATTCTAGCTGGGGGAATGAAGCTGGCAAATTTAATCCCTATCGCTTTCTTTCAAAGGCTGGAAAAATTCCTGATTTGGTGCACCATGGTACCTCATTTGCGGGTTCTGTTTGTTTTTCTGTTTTCTATATTAAGGACAGAAGTCTTGTATGCTATGCTTTATTCCTACTAATCACTCTAAGCTGGGTTGCATTCTTATATAGCTCTTATTCAATTTTATTTTGCATAATTCCTTGTGCTTTTGGTGTAAATGCATTATAGCTGACTTAAGTCTATGAATGCTTCTATTGTTTCTGGTTCATGATGTCAATCAAACTAGCTGTTATACATTTAATTCCTGGTTGGTTCAATTAAACATCATGTCTATTTGATATTTTTTGTTTTTGATATCATTACTGATTTCGTTTCAGAAGGTGCTGAAGAACTTTTGGATCATGGACAGAGTTCATTTGTTTTGAATCATCCAGATGAGAATCCAGTTTTTCTTTCCTTTGGTTCTGGTACACGAGCATGTGTTGGGCAGAAATTTGTAATGCATGCAGTGGCAACACTATTTGCATCATTGCTTGAACAATATGAGGTTTGTCCTATGAATTAATTTACTTTTCCATTGAGCTCTTTCTTTTCTTACTGGTTCATTACAAGTTACGACTTACATGTCCTCTTACAACTCCTTATCCAGTTCAAAATTTCGGTATTTATCAATGAAACTATAGTTGTGTCTTATGGTAAACCCAATTGAATGAGCAAACCACATTGAATTCTGATTATATTTTCTGAATCAAAATTACAGGTGAGACTTCAGCCAGGTTCAAAAGACCCTTCAACAATAATGAAAAACAGTTCTGTCTTTCAAAAAATTCCTAGTCAAGAGATAGCTTTTGTGAGAAGGAATACCTGAAAGAATGAAGAGACACAGGATCATAGCCTGGTGGGAATTATTTCATTGTGTTCGTGTTGTCAAAATGTTTTTGATGGAGAAGGCGCCTCATCATATTTTTTCCACCAGAATTGTTTGGGAATTTTTTTTTTTTCTTTAGTTCCTTAGCAGTCTGAGTGGAGGATATTACATGAGTCCGTTGCATTACAACTCATGTTTTTTTCCCTCGCTGGCTCCAGTGCTGTCTTTGATGCCATCACAAGTTTTTTAGCATTGTTTTTGAAGCACGTTGCTCATGCCCCGGTGGCGTAGATTTCCTTCCGCTTGTCTTCTCCATCTTTGAGCTTTTCCTAGCCACTTTCCCTTTTTTCTCCCGAAAGGAGTTCGTGCTGTTTTATAATGTTCACCAATTACGTACCAGAACTTCAAAATTTTATTGCTACAAAATGTGTATCATTTGTGTCTCAGTTCTCTCTTCTTTTCTGTGAGTGCTTTCATGCTTTTGATAAGGTTTTTTTGGTTTCCCACCTGGTATCCGAGGGTTCACCTCGATTAATCCGACCCGCATCGCGCACCTCGAAATAGTGAGTGAGTCTCCCAATAAAAGTTGTTGCATACACAAGGTCTCGAATTTGAGATCTTGCTTAAGCTGGAACAAATCATTTATCACTTGATTCAATCCTTCGTTAATATGTTTTTGATAATTTAATAATGAAAAAGTATAGTATAATTTAAATTGTATTAAATTATATTTTATTAATTATTATATGAGAGTTAGATCACTTTATATTAGCAGACTTTCCTTTATTCAATGGTACGGTTAAGACGGTAAAACAGGTGCATTCAATAAACATAAAACATGTTTTCTCAACTCGTTCATCAAAATTCAAAAGGGCAGACCCCCATGTGGCCAAGCCACGCTGTCACTTGAGTAGCAAGTGGATTGCACTCACTTTCACTTTAGATGTTCGATTTTTTTACAGTATGATAGATATTAACACTTATTTAATCATTTTTTATTGTAAAAAAAAAAAAAATCAAAAGGATGTTGATGCATTGAATGAAAATTCTAGGGGGAGTTGGGTTTGAGATGAAATTTAGTGGATAAAAGTTCACTCCCACAATAAGGTAGGGGACGAATAGTGAAATTTGTCCAAACTTCAAACTGGTATTGTTCTCTCATATCTTAGCCTCCGCCGTCTGCCACAACCGCTGCCGTCGGGAAGAATACCAGGCGACGGCCCGCGAGGGGCCGAACCCTTATGATTTATATAACTGAACGGTGAACCATTATCGCTGTCCAAGATCTAAGATGGCGAGACGTATCGGTCTTCACCCTAAATTCTTCCTCGCCGGCTTGATGAGACCTCAAAACCCCACTGCCCTCCGTCTCCTCACCTTCTCTCTCTGCACAGACCCCTCGCCGGACGGCACCCAAAACCTTCCCAATCCGATAAACAGCAGAAAAAATGGCGAAATCGGAGATCTTCAACGCCGTGAACATGTCCGCAAGCTTCAAGCTTTGCTCGAGCAGGGACGAATGGATGGTGCACAAAGCCTCACTAAGTCTCTCCTTCGATCCAAATCACCTTTCTCTTTCCCGACTGATCTCTTTACTGTCTTCTCTCTCTCCTCACCCTCCCTAAAACGAACTTTCTCAGACATGCTCCTGCGGTATTATGACACTCCAAGATGCACAGTGAGGCAACGGAACTGTATGAAGCATTGAGGAGAAACGGTATGCAACTTCCTACGAACTCTATCGATTTTTTACTTGAATCTCTGGTGTCTTTGAATAAGTTTGAAAAGACCCTTAATTTGTTTGGGGAGATAATTCAGTCTGGTTTAATACCCAATAATTTCATGTCCGGGAACGCAGTACAAGCAGCTGTAAAATTGGGGGACTTGAAGCAGGCTATTGAATTCGTGGATTGTATGAAGAAGAAGGGAATGATCCCTAATTTTTTATATATAATGTGTTGATCAGTGGACTATATAAGAAGAAGAGAATGAATGACGCAGAACAACTGTTCGATGAGATGCATAAGAGAAGTATAGTGGCAAGTCATGTTTCATACAATACGCTTATCAATGGGTACTGTAAGGTTGGTGAGTTCGACCAGGCGGTTAAGTTGAACGAAAGGATGAAGATGGGAAATGTGGAACCAAATCTTGTTACTTTCAATACATTGCTTTCTGGACTTCGTCGTTCCAGGAGGATGGTAGAGGCTAAAAAGTTCTTTCTGGAAATGAAAGCTTAAGGATTTATGCCGGCTGGGTTTACTTACAGCATACTTTTTTATGGGCTTTGTAGGACTGGTGATTGTGAGACTATATTGGCTATATATGAATAAGTTAGTGGAAAGGGAGTCAGTATGAATGGTTATACTTTAGGTATTTGGCTTAATGTATTGTGTAAAGAAGGGATGGTAGAAAAGGCAGAATGGGTTTTGAAGAAAGAAATTGAAAATGATCTTGCTCCTGATGTGGTACTGTATAATACAATGGTGAGTGAATATTGTAGAATAGGTGATGTGAATAGAGCCATTTCGACTGTTGACCAAATTGAAAAGCATCAGTTGAGGCCAAATTGCATCACTTTCAATTTATTGGTCAACAAGTTTTCTGAAATGACAGAGATGAAGAAGGCTGAAGAATGGATAAAGAAGATGGAAGATTGCTTATTGTTGGGATACTTTAAAGAAGGAAAGTTGTCAGATGTAAAAGATGTAGTTACAAATATGAAGTCCAAAGCCTTTTCTTCTGGTTAGGGGACATTGTGAACTGAAGGATTTCAATGGAGCATATGCTCGGCATAGGGAAATGTTCGAAAATGGTTTCCTCCTAAATTTCAATATCTGCATTGAACTAGTAACCGGCCTTAGAAAGGAGGGTATGTTGCAAGAGGCCCGTACTATCTGTTCAGAGATGAGTTCCAGAGGAATGGATGGTTGGAGCACATATGAGGACCTATTTGCTGTTGCCAAAGTATAAAGACTGATATACATGGCACAATTATGCCCTCTAATGAGCAATTGAGCTGCAGTTACGTCAACTGGTAAATTATTGCATATCCTTTACCACATCTGATGAATGTATTCTAATTTGTTTAGTTTCTTACTTTGTTCTTGGCTTATTCTTTCTTCTTGAAGACAAGAGGTGGAAAATAATTTTTGCCCAAGGGAGCAATGTTTGAAGTAAAGCTACATTTCTCTTAAAAGTTATGAGGACTCAATTGAGGTTGCTGATCAAATATCGTTAATATCCTAAACAGGCAAGCATTTAATATTAATGCATAGGAGCTGCCTAGAAAAAAAAATGCAGCTTGAAAAAGACTTGATTTGAAACGCATGATAGGATACAAAAACTGTTACACCTACTCGATGAAAGATAGTCCGGAGAGTTCAAATATCCAATGGATGAAAGATGGCATGATGAAATCACTCCTTCCTTTTGGAGGGTAGTTGTTTACACGAAACAGTAGTGCTGCGCATTGTCTAAAGTTCAGGGACTATGGAAAATGGCGGAGGATACCATTTAGTTTTATGCAATCTAATGGCAGCATTACATGAAATAAGCCATACTGCTAATGGACTGTCCAAATAAACCATAAAATGATGTCTAAGCCTCTATGAGGGCAGTTTTGTTCCCAGAAGAATACCATATCCTTGCCTTGGACTAACGAGAAGTTCACAAAAAGGCCTTCTTTAATTGTGAAAAGCAGCTAACACTTCTGGAGGCTGTTAGCAGTGGCTAATGCTATAACAAGAGATAAGTTGACAAAGGAGAAATGGCGCAATAGACAGAAAGAGCAAAAGACATAATATATGACTACTTCCCAAGACCTACATGGGTTACACTTCCATTCTCCAATGGCATCATCGCTACTTTGGGTGCTAAACTGACACTAATTTTTTCTAGAAATCGTTCCCACAAGTTAACCCTCGTCATCATAATCTTCCTCTTCCTCATCTAACCTTCTACTCATCTGTGTCAGTTGGAGAGGGTCAATTGCCATCTTGTCCATCTCTGAAATTGACCAACCTGGGTATTCTTCATGCTTAGTCTCCACAGCAGGCTCAGCTGATGAGATATGAGCTGGCGTTGGTGCAGGTGCTGCTGCAGTACTTGCTGTGGCCTTTGCATCTGCATTTTCATCTACCTCTGCATTTAGATCAAATTTTCGAACAGCTTGATTGGCATCCTCACTTGCAGCGATGTTCTCTTTCCCCAATTCCTTTGACTCAGAACCATCATCCATCATTGCTTCAGGGTTTGCATTATTGCTAATTTGCTGAAGAGCAGTGGAGGGCTCTGGTTCTGCTTCACGATGAGAGTCCCTTTCCACATTTCTAGGGGTTCTCCCACGGCCTCTTCCTCTCCCTCTCCCTCGTCCTCTCCCTCTTCCACTGGTACCTGCATGGCCCAAGTCATGCTACAATACACGCAAAAATCCCCATTAGTGAAAAATACAGAGAATGTAAACACCTAAAGCAAGATAATACAAATAAGTATAGAAAGAAAGAACCTTGGCTCACCATTCTAGTCCTCTTTGACTCCTCATCACTGTCATGGCATTCATCTCCAGCAGCTTTCCTGGCAGAATAAGATGTGAAACATATGAGATAA